AAGGAAGGAAGGAAAGAAAGAAAGAAAGAAAGAAAATAAATAATGGGAGATGTCAAAAAGACGAGTCACTTGAAGAGGTTCTCAATGGCCACATCTGAGACATTCCAAGCTATAAAATAATTACTAAATTAGATTATAACCCACAGAATATAATAGCATAAAGAAAAAAAAGAAATGAGGAAAAAGAAAAAGTTCTTCCTTACAGTTGAATTCCACTATTCTATAACACTTAGCAAACATTACAATGATACCTGTTTCAGGTAACAATCTTCAATGAATGTTATAATTAATAGGAAAAAGTATAAGAAACAGGATATTTACACAGCCTCAGAGTATCTCTCCCACAACATTCTTATTAAGTACAAAAGGGAAAACAGTAACTTTATCATGGACAAATCTGGCAGACACCAACTCAACCAAGAGATCAAAGTTATAATAACGTCACCAGTAACGGGACAATTCAGTATTATCTGCCTTTTGAAATGACACACAGAATATTACCTCTGTGATGTTCTTGCCAAAATGCATAACCTGAATCAAGAGGAAACAGACAAACTTTATTTGAGAGATAAGCTACAAAATAACTGGCCAGTGCTATTCAAAAGTGTCAAAGTCATAAAAGAAAGTATAAACAATTGCTCCAGAAAAAAGGAAAGGAAGAGACAAGACAACTTAATGAAACATGTAATTCTGGATTGGATACCAGACCAGACATAGGACATAATTAAAATTTCTGGTGAAATCTGAATAAGGTGAATAGTTTGATGATATCTACATCAATGTTAATTTCTTGATTTTGATCATTGTACTGTAGTTATATAAGATGTTAACATTTGGAGAATTTGGTTAAAGGACACATAGAAATTGCTTGTACTATTTTGGGGATGTTTTTGTGAGTTTGACATAATTCTAAATGAAAAGATAAATTTTAATCGAAGTCTTAGAGATTAAAAAATGCAACCAAACGTAGTCAGAGCTACAAAAACTAAAGACAGATTATTTTTAAAAAGTACGATTTTCCTGAAATACAAGAAACAACTCTACCATTAAACAACCTTCAATTTCACTGGTTTCTGAGACTGCAGCAGCTCAGTGTCTATCAATTCACCTACTGTGACTAACATAAATTTCTTACTGGTTCATTTTTTGAAAACCTCTATATTTCTATATTATTTGGCTTTACATTTAGAAAATATTCCCTATTCTACAATGTTTTAGAATCTTGTCAAAATTGCCACTCTACTCACTGTTACTTCCAAGCCTTGGCCAGGCTAATACAAAATTTATAAGCAATACCTTTTATTGCTAACTATATACAGGTCTCATATTACACTCAATTTCAGAGATCCTTGGATCTAAACATTGTTATTAGATACAACAAATGGCCACTAAGTTTTGGAATAAGAATACTAAAAAGAGATCCCCCACTCTATCTTGACATGGCTTTAAAGACGACAGAGTCTAGGGTTAACGGCTATTAATCAGCTATTCTGATTTCATGGCCTCCAAGACCATTCTACAGCCCCCTCAGGCTCTTTTGACTCTGAAAGTCACAGAAAATTCTTCTCCCATGCTATTGGACTTAAATTCTACTGCGCGAAAAAGAGATTTTTGCATTGGTCCAGAAAATGCCTTGTATACATTTTTTTCTCTCAGAATAATGCATCCTAAAACAGAGTAGGTATTCAATAAATACTCCAGGGTTTTCCTTTTGTTTTGGTGGAGCATGGTTCTAAGAGAAATGAGATATTTCCATTATCAATCAAAAACATATTAGATCAAACTACTTTAGCCAATCACCTAGGAGGTCTGACAGTACTGAGACACAGAGAAAGGGGTATACAACCGCGAAGGAGGGAAAATAAAAGGATGGCAGAAACAAGTGACAAATTTTGCAGACTTTATTATTTTGCTCCAGATTTATCATGATACTGTGAAGAAGGCAATGTTGAATGTAAAGAGTACCTAAAATATGAAAAATCACCAGGAGTTAAATCTATGCCTCAACCCCAAATCCCCAGGCCATTCTGTAGTGTAAAGCCTAGAGGGAGGCACCTTGATCCTCATCTTTTCTATTCTCTCTCCACTCAAAGAGGTAAGTAATAAACCCACCCATTAAGACATTGTTACGTATCTATTAATATTAACAATATATGTCTCAACAACATCCTTAACATCTGCTAATCCTTACTACCAATTTAATAGATTCTGAAATTAATCTAATCCAAAAAATTAAATAAATATAATTTTAACATTCTGAAAATAAGCAGTGATGCTAATTTTCGCTTATCCTTCAAAAACACGTAGCCACAGGGGAGGAGGTGCAGAAGAGGTAAATGATCCAAATTATCTATATCTGTTTCTATAACTATATCCATCTTTGTATAACTCCTGTAAGCACACGAGAGCAACTTTTTCATTTTATTTCTATACTGTTTATTTCTATACTGTATTTCTATACACGTATTAAAACTAATTTTAAACCTAGTTCATTTTTTTAAGTAAATTCAAAATAATATGAACAAATGAACATATATGTGAAACATACTTATTACTTAACAATTTGAATTAGCATACCAAGCATTAATATTAAAAACAATAACTGCTATATAACCCAAAGAAAAATGTCAATACCACAATTATGGTAGTGATTATCTCTAGGTGATAATATTTCTCTTCATTTTTATTCTTTTTATTTATGCTATTTTCTGAACTTTGTTAAATGAACCTGTCTTACCTATGAAACACCCAAATAGAGCTAGAAAATGCTACAGGGAAAGATTGTTTTCAAAAAAGAAAAACGATTAAAATGAAAGAAAATATTTTTACATATTCTCAAATAAAAACCAAATATAACAAAATAATCTAGCAAGTACATCATATTGAAATATCATCATTCTATTCACCTAATAATGACATCAAGTTGTATTTGCCCCACTTCATGTCTCCATATGAATCTTTTCAAGGTAACCACACTTAAATGTAGATAAAGATAGCAAGACACAAAGGGTATAACTGCCACTCTGGCATTCAACAACTTCTCATAAAATTAAATGTAACCTATGTCATCTTCAAAACAAGCTAAAAAACTAATATACATATATATATATGTGTATATATATATGTACTTATAATTATTCTAAAGCATTTTATTATGAAAAAGTTAATAAGACTTCTATATTAATATCTGTTAAAATAATTATTCCAACTATTATAACACTTGAATGAATAAATACATGTAGCAAAACTGTAATCAATACAAAAAATATGGATCACAAAAGAGAAAGAAAAAGTGAAATATTATTGATGATGCATAAAACTTATATTAATGAATATTTTAAAACTTAGGAATACGAAATTTGAAGTTAAAGCTTTGTTGTAAGAATACAATCACCATAAAAATATATAAAACTTAAAAAAGTATTAGCAAGAATTAGGAGAAAAAGGGAAATTATTCAAAGGCATAAAATATAGAATGAACCAGGGACAGTTGGTCATTTCTAGATTATAAATTGACAACTTACCTATTAACTTTAGACACGCCCAATACCCATTAAAGACAAGATAGTGGGCAGCAGACATATCAAAAACCACATTAAGAGAAAATGCTTTCAAACTTAACATTCAGTATAGACTTATATAAAACTAACAGAACTCTGAAACCAAAAATTTAGCAGAATGAGAGAGAACTGTACTTCATAGTCTAGAATACTAGCAAAACAAAAACTATACTATTTTTGGAAACATGTTTATTTTGCTTTTGAAATCAGAAATTCACACTCCCAAGAGCCCAAACTTTCCCTAACAACAAAGCAATATTCTTCAAGCAGTAGGGTTATTTGTATATCTTTTTTAGAAATTCTAACTTACCGAGTACCATCTGCTTTCCAGCTTACTTTATATGGCTTCTGCTCTAAAAGTTTAATATTTTGTTTGTCCATAGAAACAGGCTGTGCTCCAGGGAATCCAGACCTTAAAGAAGAACATTTTATTACTATCATGGCTCGTATCCATAAAAAGCAACACGTGTCTTAAACCACTCTCAAATGAATCACACATTTACCGTAATGTTCTCCCTATCATGAGATGATTGTCAACTAGAATATCAGCTTTCACAAGAATGCTAATAAAAGGTTATCATTTTCTTGACATTTTAGAATGTAAGTTAACAGAGTTCTAAATTGCTACTGATATAATTATTGGGCTAATTTTAAAATACTAGTGTGCATGATCTTGATAGTAAAGCAGGTATGTTTATAAGTCTTTTACTTCAAGAAATTTATATCTTGGCTTAATGACCTTACATCATTCTAGACCCCATACTTCTCCATCATGACACTTCCAACTTGACATAATTCTGCAGGGTTAGCAATTTTCTGCTCAAAAGATGCCAAAAGTGACAAAACAGGAGAAACATGGGTCAAGATTAAGGTACAATGGCAAGGAATTAACACAACACTAAAACGAATATAACTTCTTCCTTATTTTCATCTTTTAATTAAAATTATTTCTAGCTAATTTATCTGATATTTAGGTACTAGTAATAAAAGTTCTTTATATTAGGCATTTATATTATGAATTTTTAACAATTAATAATACTATTTCCTTGTGTCAAGCTGTATTACAATTTTCTGCCACAGATACCAATGACCTGTTGAAATGACCACAGACCAAGACCTGAAAACAACAGATAACAGCAATGAACTCTCTCCTGAAGCCTCTCCCATGAAATTTCTGATAAATATTTTCAAGTCACTGTAGGGAGCAGAGTATCTTTAAGGATGATTTCCCCAGGCCTTCTGATTACACAAAAACTGGAAAATGAGGCACATTCAAGTTTTACCTCTTCTCCCTTAATAAATTGATGAGACCAGCTCAAACATTAATCAGCAGCAATAGAGTCAAAGACATTAAACAAATACTAGTGACAACAGTAATTTTCTATTACTTTAGGAAGACATGGGAGTCATCTAATTTTGATTCGACTGTTTACTGTACTGATTATCTTGAAAAATAGCTGACATCTTTTTAAGTACTCTCTGTAAACATATTAACTTCAAGGAGCAAAAAAGCTATGTCAATGTTTAATCAATTTTAAGGGTTGCAGAGTAAGAAAAAGTTTTATTTAAAACTTTAAAATATTTATTACCCTTCCCAGGCACAGAACTGATGACACTTCTGCTGTACTTCTCCTAACTTTGGTTGAGTGGTTACTTGAGTTACACCTTTAACAGTTACACCTTCCAAGAAAATAGCACCCTTTAAAAAAAAAAGAAAAAGAAAAATATTTTTATATTAGAATTCAAATTTACAAAGAAGAGACTAAGAGATAAATTAGTTTATTTTCACAAATCTGAGCAAGTCAATATAGGAAACAAAAATGCTCTGCTACAAGCAGCTCTACAAATACCCCTGGGATTGTACACTGTTTTCCTTAAACCAGCATATATTTTCAATATGCATAGCCCAGTGTTTAAGTCAAAGACACTCTATAGGCACTTCTCAGTAATCACAACAGTAATAATTTATCTACCACTTACTGAGAGCCAAGCAGAGTATCTGGTATTTTACAAAACTTCTCTCCTTAATCCTTACAACAATGAAAAATAGATTGTATTAGATTTATTTAACAGATGAGTAAATAAAGCATGAAGATTTTATGTATTTACTCAAGCAGTAAAAGAAAGAATCTGAACACAGGCCTATATTATACTACTGACCAATGGGGGGAGGGGAGAAGGAGTTGTGTCATTATGGGTAGAGTATGGATCCTAAGGAGATAAACACCCAAAATATACACCTTTATAAAGTAGAATAAGAGTTATTACAGTAGGCAAAGTGGCTAAGCCACAGTCATGGGATCAACATAAAAGTAAGTATTACTTATCATTGATTTTTTTAATCTAAATTCTTTAACTCAGAACTACATAAAGTATCTTACCGTATTTTGTAGCAAGCATATTTTCTAAATATCACAGAGAAGTGAAGCAGATGGAGAATTTATATACCAAACAAACGAGGAAAACTAGAAATTTTAAAAACTAAAAAAATAGTCTAGAGTTATGCTATACAACTACTTTCAGACCCGTAAGAGGGCTGGCATCAGTCTCAAGAAAAATCTATAAAACAACTCCAGCTGTCAATGTAATTAGGGAATAAAAAATATGGTCTACAAACTACAATGATCAACCTCTGGCAAAGACTTGGCAACTTGAGCCACTTGGGAAGGGCAAAAAAGAACACTTAATATTTAGTTCACATACATCCCGTCACATCTAGAAGAACACTGTGCCCTTCCAGCAGACACTGGTCCTACTCTTTGCTCCTAATTTGGAATCACTTCTTATAGTCACCTAATCTATCTTCTACTTTGTTTTCCTTAAATTCTCATAATTTAGGGATTTCATGAGCCAAAGGATCAAAGAGTACCATCCCTCTACTATGATACCATTACCTCTCTTTACTAGCAATGAAATTTCTGTTTTAAAACCATTTCTATCATTAAGTATAGTAACTAAAGAAAAGAGTATTTTTAAAGGAAAGCTCAACCAGGTAGATGAGGTTTATAACATATTTAGCCATTGAGAATACTCGGATAAGTTGAATATTCTTATAAAATCATATCTTGTATATGCTAATTAAAAAGAGAACACTAAGAGAGTGCAATATTCATCTTTATTCTGAAGGAATTAACAGCATTGGAGATTTTCTTTTTTAAATGAAGAAAGTATCTACCTTCATTTATAAATATGTATTTCCTAAGCAAAGTTAAGAAATATATGATAATTTCTAAAATGGGTAAAATAAAACTGAAGGCCAAATTAGCATAAGTTAGTCCTAAAAACACAAACATTATTTTTTTTAAATAATAAAAAGGACTAACACAGAAAATCTGAACAACTTTCAATCAAGTGTTTTCCTACAGTACTACCAAAGAAATATTTAAATAATATTTCTATGCAGTTGAACAAGCTGAATATTTTTAAGTTAACAGAGCTAATAGATATTGAGCATCAGTACAGATTTAACAACTATTGAGTTTGGTTATAAACGATAACCTCAATCAGCTAGTAAATGTCTGTCATCCATTTATTTTTCCTCTTCCTTAATATTTCCTATCATGCATCAGCTTCTTTACTTTCTATAGCTTCCCCTATTTTCTTTTGCAATAAATATTAAGTAAAAAGAAAGGTAGAAATAAGTCCAGTAAAAACATTAAGTATGATGTACTTTACACACAAATAATATTTGGTAACTTAAGGGTAACACAATTTGCTGCTTAATGTCATTACAATAGTTTCCTCTGACAAAATATTCATTTTTATTACTCAAAATCATGTGGTAACTCCAAGAAAGATCATTAATTCTAATTTGTAAACAGCAATGTCTTAGGTCTGGAACTATTTTTGAGCAGACTATAATTGAGATTTAAAGTCACTGACATTTATTTTCACTTGTCAACAAATTATCTCAGTTTGTGGGAATAAAGAAAATCAAAAGTGAAAAGATAATGTATGCTTAAAATGGAACAAGTATATTTCATAAGCAGAGTCTACCAGCCTTAAAATTAAAATTTGTATGGCTATTGCAAACAGGTCAAAAAGGAACGAGTGATCCTTTAGAAGGAAATTTAGGAAATTAATTCAGAAGATGGGGGCAATTCATATGTGAGAGAGCTATGTGTCTGTGGGTGTATAAAGAAAGAATGTATACAAGTATGTATGTATAATACACACATTTTCATAATGAAGAAAATACATTAATGGTTTTATTCAAAAAAATGATCTCAGGCATGAAAGGAGCAAGCAACATCCCTATAAGTCATACTCTTCCAACTCAGCAATGGCATATGGTCAAAAGATGAATAAAGAATGTGTCTTGGCCAGGTGCGGCAGCTCACGCCTGCAATCCTAGCACTCTGGGAGGCCGAGGCGGGCAGATTATTCTGAGTCAGGAGTTCGAGACCAGCCTGAGCAAGAGTGAGACCCCATCTCTACTAAAAATAGAAAGAAATTGGCCAAACAACTAAAAATAGAAAAAAAAATTAGCCAGGCATGGTGGCGTGTGCCTGTAGTCCCAGCTACCTGGGAGGCTGAGGCAGGAGGATCGCTTGAGCCCAGGAGTTTGAGGTTGCTGTGAGTTAGGCTGACACCACGGCACTCGCCCCAGGCAAGAAAGTGAGACTCTGTCTCAAAAAAAAAAAAAAAAAAAGAATGTGTCTTAGTCTTAGGAAAGTGAGGGGCCAAGCACAGGACATGCACCACTGTTGTGAACCCAAAGAAAACTATCAGAATTCACTACAAGGAGTCCATTACTTCAAATCACAGTTACATCAATATGAGTGTCAGAAAAGGAGGACTCTATTTACCAAATAAAGTCTCAAGCTAAAATAATCTCATTATGTCAAGAGATGTGAGCTACAAAAGAATTAATCACTCTGGGATTACCTCTGTTAACTATCTTCAACCTCAGAGAGAAATGAAAGGAAAATGAAAGCTTTCCCAAACGTGAATTTGACAATTAATTACATCTACACTTCTCATTCCTGTCAACCATGTCAGCTACTGTTGACATCACTCACAATTCAACTCTGTAGTCACCTCTGATGGTTTTGTCCTCGTTGCTTTAGTGCCCCTTTTCCTTGGTTCATCTTACCAATAATCACCTTCCCAAAGAGTTCCAACATAACCCTGGCCTCCCTTTTTTATAAATAACTTTCCCCTATAACCTCAACCTTTTTCTTGATTACTTCGCACCCTGTGTCTTAACTAAAAGCTAGCTCTCCCCAGGGAGACCACTTCTCTCTTAAAGCTACTTATTCTCCCATTGCCCAAGTCCCATGGAAGTGGTGTAAACTATGCCACATCCTTCATTGCTTTCCTAATCTATTTCAAAAGCCCCTATTCCATTTAGACTAACTCCACTCAGCTATACCACATAGCTGTGGTAAAGCAGACATCCACTGTGGTTGGTGGCACAACAACTCTCTTAAAGAGCTGCTCTCCCCATCCACGAAGATGGGGCCTAACAGCCATGTTACATGACAGTACAAGATAACATTCCTAGTCTAGCCAAAGTTGATGAGGGCATGAGTGAACCCCTAACTCAATCTGAATCCATGAGATTCAGTTGCCTGGTAATTTGGAATTGGGATTCAGAGACAGGCAGTTAGTCTCTGCATGTGGCTACAATTATAAGAGGTTAGCTTAGAAGCTCTGGAATACATATAATCTCCAAGGAAAACGAGGAATCAGAAAAACCAGAGAAAGTGAGAAGACTAATACAAATAAAGGGAAGAAAGCAGAGAAGAGAAACTAAGAAGAAACAGCAGAAACTATGTGCTAGGTAACTTTCCAGGTCCAAGCTCCAGTATCGTCCTGAAATATGGTTATAATCCTGTGTTTGAATTTCACCAACTTACTCATAATAAAGTCTTCTTAATATTTAAGTCAGTTTGAGTTAGTTTCTCTACTCACAACCAGAGAGTCTAAACTAATAAAACCCTTTATCCTTTGTGTATTGAAAGATATTGCCCCACATTCACCAAAAGCAGTTAGTCTTTCTCACCATTCTAACTTCTATCATTATACTGGTAACATCAACAACCACTGAGATAACATGACCCATCCAACAACCTAGGCTTCATGGTTCAGTAATTTCATTTTCAATGACCCTGATCTTTGTCCAACTTGAACAACCTTCTCCATGACCATACCATCATCATTCCAGACACACTACCATATTATTAATATCTTTTGACCTAATTCAACTCACACTGAGTGTACACAGCATTCTAAAACCAACATGCCACTCTTTCACACTTACGTTAGATAGCTTAACTCTTTTGCTCTCACTATGCCCACTTTTCAATCTCACCAAGACTAACAATCCCTTCATTCCTCCCTTTCACAGTTTAACAGCCCCCTCCACCATCCTGATCTCACTCCTATGAGCCTAGAACCTTTGGCTGATTACCTAAATTTTTTTTTCCAATATCCTCAGTACCCCTTTATCTTCTTCTCCCTTCATCACACCCATACTAAATATCCCCAAGCTTCAACCAACCTACCCTTAATCTTCCAAACTCCCACACACAGGCAGCTGAAACTTACTAAGGAAAAATCACAATCTCAGTTGCATCCTCAGTGCTGAGAATATCTCCCTCCTATTGTTGAAGACCTATTACACCAACTGCACTTGACCTCCAGTCCCTTTCATTTCCTCAGAGATTTCTCTATCATTTATTCCCAACCTTTACTTTCATCTTCATTGACTTCATTAGCTCCTTATCCACAACTAATAAATATACTTGAGTTTATCCTATACTAAAATGCCTTTTCTAATTATGTCTGCCATCAATTACCCTTTCTCTCCCTTTTTGATCACAACCAAGCCACTTCAACAAATAGTCTATACTAGCGTGCAGAAAAAAGTTAACAAGACTGTTTGCAAGGCTCACCCCTATAGGGCATCTGGGAACCAGACTTTGAGTGTTCTCAGTCAACTGATAAGGTGGTTCACCATACCCAGATTATTTGTACAAATAATACCGTTTGTGCTAAACAAATGCTTTCTTTCTGGGATCGTGGAATTTTGGTACCTAGTCGAAGACCTCAGAGAATTAGAAAGGCAGTAGGGACGTAAAGGGCCAAAAATTCACAGGGAAGGGAAGCCCAGAGAGGTAAGCAAGACATCTGCTACAGCTTTTCCCCTCTAGGATTTTCCTCTAGAGGCACTGTTTCAAAAATGGTAGCTGAGAGGCTAAGAAGTTGAACAGAGCTTTTAGCAATATAATAGGAATGGGAAACAAAAACTGGAGTTACAGGTCACCAAGGAGAAGGAGTCCTATTTAATTCTCCAATCTTTCAGTTAGGATCCCGAAAAGGCTACAATCCAGGAATAAGAGTGAACCAAAATAGACCAGTCCCCCAAAACGAAAGCCTAGTTTCTAAACAATTCAATCCTCAGTTAAAATGTTCTGCTGCTAAAGTAAAAGTAGGAGCAACAGTAGGAACAAAAGTAAATCCTCTCTGAAAGAAAATAACATGATCAGAGTCTCAAATTATTTCCACAATTTTTCATAAGTAATATGTAGTATTCAATCAAAAATACCCAAATATTCAAAAAAATTTTAAAAAACTACAACTGACTAGAACTCAAAAGGGCCTAACAAAAACCAAAAAAGATCTACAGGAGATCTACATATTACTTATTTGACACAGGCTTTGTAAAAACTGGTATTAA